CATTTGGTCGTTTAGTTTGTCATTTTCAGTCGATCTTGTTCATATGTTTAATTTCGACAACATGTTGTTCTCCGGTAATGCAGTGCGCATGTCCGAGGCCGGAAGTTTACATTTTCACATTGTGTGCATGTCAACCAATCATATTAGAGTCCCGGCACGTGAATTTCTCGGGACGGTGTCCCGTTATTTTCGGGACTATTGCTAAACATCGGCAGTCACGACTCAGCAGCCGGTGAGTACACACGGTTTTAAGATCTCGGAACCGCTTACCAGGTTCGAGCGTGATTCACTTCCTATTTTTCCTAGGGATATAGCCTATTGTCATTTAATCTATCTATCAAACTATTTTTAGAAGGGATTTCCCTGTAATCGCTTATGGTAAAGTGACGTCAAAGTCGTATAAAATGTAGGTCAATGTTTACATTAGAAACCGTAACGAACTTCAGTCAGATATAATTCCTACTGCTAGAATTGAAACAAATAAGGTTTATTGTTGATATCTATATGTCAGATTTACTTTATAAGTCAGAATAATAGTGAAACTGAGCTATATTGGAAGTTTTAGTGTATATATGTACAGAACAAGAGTGAGATACGTTGATATGGACTTGTATTAACCCTGCAACTGTCATGCTCGTATGGCTCCAGTACTCCTATATGTATATAAATAAACATTATAGAACTGTTCATTTGGCGTTTGTTCACTGTCACTGAGTGGGTTCAAAGTAGTATCCAGTTTAGAGTAGCCTTGCTTACCAGAGGCTGAAGAGACCCCATTGAGCAGGGGCTAAGAAGAGACCCTATTGACCAAGGGTGAAGGGTTGTCTATCTTACTACAAATCATAGGCCTTGATAGAGATAGACCCGACCATGTTACAAGATGTCATAAGAAACTATTAAAAGATTTAAACATATGACGCCTGTGACCTTGATTGTCAAACAAGGACATTAGGTTGAAAGTGGATCAATGTCATTCATTTGAACTAACTTGGTAGTCCTTCATCCCAGCATGCTACAGGCCAAATTCCAGTACCCTGGGCCTTTTGGTTATTGAGAAGAAGTCGTTTGAAGATTTTAAGACATTTGACCCCTGTCACCTTGAAAGTTGGTCAAGGTCATTCATTTGAACGAACTTGGTAGTCCTTCATCCCAGGATGCTACAGGCCCAATATCAGTACCCTGGGCCTTATGGTTATTGAGAAGAAGTCGTTTGAAGATTTTACGACATTTGACCCCTTTGACCTTGAAAGTTGGTCAAGGTCATTCATTTGAACAAACTTGGTAGCCCGTCATCCCAGCATGCTACAGGCCTAATATCAGTACCCTGGGCCTTTTGGTTATTGAGAAGAAGTTGTTTGAAGATTTTAACATATTTGACTCCTGTGACCTTGAAAGTGGGTCAAGGTCATTTATTTGAACAAACTTGGTAGCCCTTGATCCTAGCATGCTAATGGCCAAATATCATCATCCTAGGCCTTTTGGTTATTGAAAAGAAGTTGTTTAAAGTAAAAAGTTGACGACGGACAGACGGACGACGGACGCCGCACCATGGCATAAGCTCACTTGCCCTTCGGGCAGGTGAGCTAACAAATACTGATATCACCTATATACTAATATCATTAATACTAAAAATGTGCTGAAAATCTGTTTGAAATATATGGTGATTTCTTATTGAGTAATTCCATGATGATGTTCAGTTGTTATGTACATGTATTACTTTAGTGCCATATTTAGCCAAACTCTTGTAACTTATGTTGTGCTTGTTTTGACCAATAAAATGTTGAATTATCCTACAAAATTATGTTAATTTTCTATTCAATTAACGAGGTTCCACATTGTTTATCATGTTTATCTAACTGCAGTTAGTTATTGATATTTATTTTTATCAAAAAGTGAATGAGCTGATAAGAGTTTTTCTTTTTAAAGTATCTCAATTGAGATAAAGAAGCAAAATATGTTGAGGAGTTGTCGAAATTCTTTGTACCATATGTTTTTATGAAACTCGATTGATTCACACTACTAAGCCGACATTAGCAAGTTTCATTCTCTTGTTGAGTGCCATTCCTTCAGTACCTTTTACTATAACACCCGATATCTTTCCAAAATCTCTTTCAAAAGTCTTGGTCAAATCATTCTTGGATTGAAACTTGACTATTCTTCTTATCACAATAACAATAATAATATGTGTGTGTGTGTTTTTAATTAGAACTGTAACAGATCAATTGATTTTTTTTTATCAAATGTTGATCTGATTATTTTGCTAGCAAACCATCCCTTTATAAGTATAGGGGTAAATAATAATAACTTATAAAATATCCCGATGATCTCCAAGAATTATGACATGTAAGCCTTTTGAGCAACATTGCCGAGGCTGGTATTACTTATAAATTATAATTTTAAAAATAAAGTAATTGCTTTAAAAGGATATTTTCTGAGATATCCGTGGGATAGTGTGCTATGATATATCTGGAAAGATATGCATATCTATGAGATCATGGTTGTTCTTAGAAATCAGTCTTTATGATAATTTTCTTCTTTCTTTTTTTTTTCTTCCGTTTATACATGGATATTTGATTGTCTGAGCCTCGGTGCGATTATTTGGTTGTCTTACTAACGATTTGACAACTAAAAAAAATCACCTATTTGGTTGGAGATTTCTGTGTCTCATCCTCCAGGTAGGGGAATATTCTCTATTAGTAATCAACACATCAGATTTGTTTAAAGTCAATAGACAAGAAAAAATTCATAAAAGCTGAAGGCCAGACAAGGTTGATCAGTTTCCTCAAATATTGTAAAGCTAAATGTCTTACAATTCTTTCATTAATCTTAATCCTGCCAGGACATGCTGACTGACTATATTCAAATATATATTGCAAATTCTGGTTAAATATTAAAGTCTATCACTTTTTTTCTTGTGTAATAATACAACTAGTTACAATTGTACAACTATATATAAAAAAAAACCAGATAGAAAGTAATAATTCTCTAAGCAATGTATGATTGTTAAAATAAAGAATGATTTAGGCTAGAAGGAACACTACATCTACGTTTATCCGCAGTACGGTGATAATTGTGATCTCGCAAATGAGAGCGTTTATTAGTTTTATTACGGTACCGTCGAGGATCGCATTGTTTACAACACCGGAACGGTGGAAGTTCAAGCGAACGTATGTTTGCAGTAGGTCTATTAGGTCTACATATAAGTATGTTTTTTATAGGGATGTACACGTCTACAATAAAATGAGACTCAAGATTAACATTTCATCATGTCTTCCTGTGAATGATTCTCGGACAAGCTGAGCCAGCGAGTGTAGATGGTCGGAAACTTGAATGGTGGGAAACTTCGATGATCTTGTTGGATTACGATGTGGACCGCCTCAAGATGGTCATTTGAATCAATAGCACGTTTGTAAAACTCTCCATTAGTCCTGAATTAATTGGAGGGTTTTAAAAGTAAATGGTCTAGAAATACTCGGGACGAAATGTCTCTTCCTTTCTCTCAATGGAGCAGACGGGCACCTGAAGCGTACGATATGTCCGCCATATTTAAGATCAAATTCAGACTTAAGTCTGCCCTGTAGCAGTCTTAGGATTTAAGACAGAAATTTAGACTTAAGACTTAAGTTTTTTTTCATGATCCCCAAGCTAAGTCTGTTTTTAGACTTAAGTAAAAAAAACTTAAGTCCGTTTCACGATCCCGGGCCCTGCTCAATATGATATCCCTTGGTTTTCAATAACCTTATCCATACCTCACATCAGGGATGGATTCTATTAATCCATACCTCACATCAGGGATGGATTCTATTAATCCATTCCTCACATCAGGGTGGATTCTATTTATACATACCTCACATCTGGGATGGATTCTATTAATCCATTCCTCACATCAGGGTGGATTCTATTTATCCATACCTCACATCAGGGATGGATTCTACTTAATCCATACCTCACAGCAGAGATGGATTATGTTAGTCCCGCTCACGTTGGAACCAGCATAATTAGGACATCATAAAGCATACAACGTCAGATTTCCCCGCCACTGTCACGACTTTCCA